GAGCGGCGAAGGCGAGAGACACTTCTAGGGGGGTCCGGGGGCATGTGCCCCCGAAAATTTTTTTGAAATCTAGAGTCCCTGAAATACGATTTAGACTCTTCCCTTTCCTTCTCTTCGCTGATATGATGCTCGTATGCAATCTTCCAGTTGTTACATTGAATATTCCAGCCATATGTGCTCTTCGTACCATTTCTTTTGGAATGTAAACTTTCTCACCGATATTTCCGATGTTAAAAAATCTAAGATCAGTCTAACCGTCCAGATTCGAAAACGAAGGTTCTATATTTGCCTCCCTCACACACAATTTCATTTGATGGATCTCTTCCTTCAAACATTTTTCTCTTTCAGTTGTGTAGTGATGCGTTCCAGCATTAATTAACATATCTCCCTCACATCTCAGCAGCAGGACCAAACTTCCGCATCACACATTACCCCATATTATAATATATATTATAATATATTAGCCCATTAACCATGGTGGGTTTCCTTCGGCGGTCGTAATCAGTGCCTGCAATATGCTAATGCCAAATACCGCATATATGAAACGGGGTCTTTTGTCAAAAGTAAAGCGATGACTTTTAATACCGGTTTTTATTCACACAATAAAGACCGAATTTATTAAGTTAGATCTAAATAACTGGACTGATGTCACAACCGTACCCCTCCCCCCCCCCCATTTTTATCACCGGATTTGGACAAATTAGAAAATTGACCTTGAAAATTGACCTTGAAAAGAACTGGTGGGACTTGTCCTCCCCAGTCCTTCCCGTGTGGCCGTCACTGTTTCCCGTATGTCAATTTGACAGGCTCGAATTTGAAACGTTTTTACACGTTTATAAGGTCGTTATGTGAAGAAAAAGTGTCCTTGGATAATTTTTAAGAATAAGAAGTCTTGGAAATATTAATAAGTACTTGTACCAACACAAATTTCATCGAAAAAGCTAAGAAAACAAGCCGTTTGAACTCTTACTGGCAACCGTAAGTTTTGGCGGGAAAAGTTTTTGATATGTTTTATACTTGTTTCAAAAAAATAAATAAAGATGAATTTAACTTCTTTAGTACCATATTCTAAACAAATATATAAACTGGGTTTATAAGCATTTTTTCTGGGGGTGGGGGTTACCGAAAAAGTAGTTCTAAAGCGATAGTTAAACATGCTTTTCCGTAAACAATATTCGGTGACGAAACCAAATCTAAACGAAGAAAACTAGCAAATAAAACATAGGCATAGCTCAAAAATACCTTTATAGCGCTCAAACAAATATATGAAAATCAGAAAATGTGTTTAAGGACCCATATAATAAACGGTTTATAAACCACGTTTTGCTCGGTCTGTACGGGAAAGTATTTGCTTTCGGTTTAATATCCGCACAGACCTCGCTCCTTCGTCGCTCGGTCTGAAGTTGAAAATTTTTCAATTTGTAATACTAGTAATGATTTTTTCGGAAACTTTCTGGCCGTGGAAAATTTTCTTGAGTGGAAATGGTTTGAGAGATGTAGTGTAATTTTCTTGCTCTTAAAAGTGTCAACATTTCAGAAACCAGCCAATATCAAGTTATTTCATCTGAAGTTTTTTCAACCTAGATGAAATTCAGGACGATCCTTGTGCGTTTAACATGCATGGAGTTTTACTGGAACATCAAGAACTTTATAGCCAGGCTGAGAAAGCTTACCATCGGTATAAGTTGCATTGTTTTTCACTCTGTGTATATCCTGATCTGATTTACAACTGTTTTAATAATTTCTTATTCTTCAACTTTTTACAGTTCGTTACAGCTGCTGGAATGTTCTGAAAATTCAGACAACGAATGTGGTGACATAGTAAGAGCAAATTATGCCAGAGTTTTGTGGTAAGTTGGAAATGTGTCCCCGAAAAACATTTCTGTGAGTTATCGTAGTCACACACTCTACCCTTAGTACTTAGTAAAATTCAATGTTTTATTTGACTTCTTTCCTCTCTTTTACTCCAACACTTTCTGGGTCTCCCTGTTAAAAGTTATCCATATTTTTTTCTTAGTTCCTTGGGAAAATATTCAGAATCAATCAAGATGTACCAGGAAATCAATCCTTTGAACAACTTCCATCATATAACTGGTTTAGCTCTGGCTTTCTTTATGTTTGGAAACCTAGAACAAAGCTATCAAGGTTTGTAGTATGGTTTCAATCAAACTAAGCAAACTTTATTTATACTGGATCAACTCTATCAGTTCTAAACTGTTGTTCCTAGAGGTGCAGTAAGGATCATCTCTTATTGTTCCAGTGTTACTACAGGAGGAAACCTAAATAAACTAACTTTATTTATACTGGATAGTTCTATCAGTCCTAAACTGTTTTCCCTAGATGTCCAGTAAGGATCATCTCTTATTGATCCAGTGTTACTACAGGATGAAACCTAAACTAAACTAACTTTATTTATACTGGATCAACTCCAACACCGTAATTAAAATACTTTCTATTTCTATTAGTGTACGAGCAAGCTTTTGAACTTGCAACAAATGAAGGCCAGAAATCGCATGTTCGTGCCGCCATGGGAATACTGGGATACATATTGGGTGATGTTGATAGATGCAAATTCGCGTTGTGTGAAAGGTAGCCATAAAAGCCCGACATATTTTTTACAAGCTAATTAGTTTAACCTGTTAAATATTTAAACTCATATGTCTTTATTTTCTAGTTCTGAATTGCGTCCAGCAAGTGAACAAGGACTTCTAGCACTCACTACCATGGGTTTGATCACATCCGACATTACCTTGGCTGCTGCAGCACTTTCTGAGCTCGTTAAAATTGGTCAGAAAGGTTTGTTTATGACAAAATTTTCATGAAGCATTCTCGAAGTTCATGGGCATGTATTATACAGAAGTATTCTAACACTATATGAATGTGTTGTTTTGTCGTGTTATTTAACACCAACACACACAACAAAAAGTACTATGAATGTGTGTTTAGTTACAGTTAGCCTTTTTTCACTTCTATCAAAACGTAGCATTTTTTTTGTTTCCTCAGCACCAGAGCGGAATGAATAATTTCGACACAAAAAAATGCTAGATACATACGATTAATTAGCCTGTGGTTTAGTTGCCTGACATGTTTCAATGTAAATTTAGGTGATGAACACTTGATTTCCGAGGCAAGCTATCTTTTTGCAAGTTTCTACGCTTTGCAGGTGTGAGGTTTTATTTATGAGCATTTATTTATCTCTCTTTACTTTAATTTGTCGTAAAATTTGATACAAGGTACCTGAATTCTTTAAGGGGAGTCCAGATATTGGTAAAAGTTACATTGTCCAAGAAATCCACAGGCGACCTCACAGCAGTTTATTGTGGAACAATCTGGCAAAGTTTATCCTTCGTTTTCAACCACATGAATTGAAAGTATGTGGAATTAAAGCCTTCAATGCATTTAGTCTATTACATTCAGGATGTGTAAAATTTTTATTTCATTTTACCAGGCAGCAGCCAGATGTGCAGAAGCCGCTCACAGACTCGGAGACAGAAATGTTGAGGTTAGATGAGAAAAATTTCATCGTGTCATCTAATAAACCCAGATAATAATATACATGAAAAAATTTCCCAATCTCAGCATGTGAAGTAACTGCCGGTAAATGGACAATGTCCGGCCAGAATGCGGAGTTGTCTGGTCAAATTCTTAACTGTCATTTTGACCAGTCACTTGTAAAGGGAGTTCTGCCATTTGAAAAGGGAATTTTGCCATTTGAAAAGGGCATTTTGCCATTTGAAAAGGGCGTTTTGCCATTTGAAAAGGGCGTTTTGCCATTTGAAAAGGGCGTTTTGCCATTTGAAAAGGGAGTTTTGCCATTTAATATTTCTGGTACTTATTCTTCAGGATGTGTCGACAACCTATGCTTACAGTACTATTGGCTGTGGACATGACCCAGCGTGTGGCAAACCTGCTTCAAACAAGATCTCCCCTGGTGTAGTATCAGCTCAGAAAGCACTTCACATGAATCCTGATTGCCTAACCAACTGGACCTTACTCTCTGCAGCACTCTCTGATGCAAGCACTTGTTATACTAGTGCACCTCAGAAGAGTAAACTTCAGCTTTGTGAAATGGTCACACGCGTCTCCTTGGCTAGAGGTTGGATATAATTTTTTTTCATTTGAATTAACTCTGCGAGTTTCAGTAGGTTAGGCATTATAGCACACCAAGTGATGGTCATCTTTAGATATGCTAACTTGTAGGGACAAGCAAACTAGCCTTTCACCCTTTTTCTCACTGTAGTTGTGTGTGCAGTGGTAAATTTATAGGGTGGAAAGAGTTGTCTCACAACGTACTTGTTAAAAAAAATATATTTTTGATCTCCTTCCAAATGTTATTTCTAGTAATCGAAGCTTCAAATTGTCCTCTCACAAGACCAGAGGTTTTTGAAAGAAGAAATTTAAATATTACAGAGGCGAGTCAAAAGTGGTTGGCACTTCAATATGGTTATTGTTTATACTACTCTGGGAAAACTGATGAGGCTATTCAACACTGTTAACAGGTAAAGTAATTTCTAATCTATTTTCACTCTTTTTATTATTATTAATATAATATTGCCTTAGTCAGATATAAGAGAAGAATTTTGTCCCGGTGTACTCCGGGTTTATCCTGAAGTAAAACTAAGAGACGGACCTCCAGGGT